TAGTGTGAAGGTCGAAAAGATCTCTCTCGCTTGCCTGCCCATTGTGTAGAGTAGAGTCCGGACTTGCGCTTCTTCACTTCGCTCATTTAAGCCAGAGGTAAAGCGGTAGTCGTCGAATAGTTGGATCCAGGAAAGCCATTCGGACGTTCGGTCGAAGTCAAACGCTGGCGGAGCTGGAACCGCGAACATGCCGTGAACTGGCTTGACTTCTTTGTCTTCTGACATGGCGCCGCTTGACGAAGACTGGTGCAACGCCCCTCGAATATCAGAAGAATCCCACTTCTGACACCATGTCGTGTTGCGCCCTAGCGAAAGGCCATGCGCGTCCAGGCCGGCCGCAGGAGCTGAGAAAGGGACTGAGCCGTTTCCGATGCGCGCGAGATAACGTCCAATCTTTATTCTATGCAACCAGCATACATATATAGCAGACACTCATGTGACCAATGACGTCACGTACAAACGACACTTTACAATTGCGGGCGACAGCGCCAGATAACGCGGACACTTGACGCGCCTGGGCGCTATCACCACAGTGCCTTAATGACCGTTTAAGAGAGCACAATAACAATGTACACAACGTAGTTCAAGGACACTTCGGAATACACTGCCGAGACTGCGGCTGTGTGCCAGTTTTTGAGCGTTGCGAGGTATTAAGCTAGCACAACTCGCAGGCCACGCGTGAGATAATTGAAACTTATCAAATAAACAAGTTTGACGGTAAATGTGTGTCATGTGTAAGTTGCCCATCGGTTGCATTGTTGCAAAAGGAAATTGCGTATCTCGATCTTTTTTAAGTTACATATGTATTTGTTTTTCAGCCCATTCAACAAGAGACAAGCTTTTTGCTGACATTGTATCGCAGTGGTTGTTCCTGCACCTTTCTACGCATGCCCAATTTTCTCATTTTTCGCCTATATATGTACACCACTCTGATATAAGTCTTTGTTGAAAGTCAGCGCTCTTTTCTGTCCTTGTTTTTTTCACTTCCGTAATTACGAAGTAACTACTTCTAGGTTGCGCTGTTCCTGCATTCAACCACGAAACTGTTACGATTAAAGTCGAAGGGTGTTTAATAGCAGGGCGAGGTTGATGGTCCAGTCCTCTTCTCCTCTCTCGGCTCACACCCGTTTCAATATGATGCATGGAGCAATGTTAATAATTTAAATATTCTACAGAACATGATGGTAGTGGCAAAAGCCTATTGATATTGTTGACATTATTGCCAATTAATAAGAGTCATGGAAGTTGGCTTGCCTTTTTCTGAAAAGCTGCATCGGCTGCACAATGAAGAAAATGTTCTGGTGCCTTGTTCATTGTCTTTGCTTCTGTATTCTTTTTTATACCAATATATTGGAGCAAGTATGAGAGAGGACAAAGTGTACCAATGCATTCATATACTTCTTTATCAATATTATCTGTGCATACGTCTATACAACGTTACTTCAGTTTTCACACTCGCTTGCTCTGCTTGGAACCGCGACCTCATTTGCACAGTGCAGGCGCTGTAGTCAAAATGGGCTTCAATATGCGGTGCACTTGACGAGCTGCTGTAGCAGAAGCGTTGGTGCTTTCTGGCAGCCATCGCCCTTTCGCAGCTGTCGTGCCGTGGCATGGTATTATTGTGTGATCATGTGTCGTCTATTTTTTCGGGTGTAACTGCTGTGATATTTGTGTGCGAATCACACCAACTTGTTGAGTGCCTTTTGCACTAGCAGATTCTGCTACAATCCAAGCACTTCTGATGTTTTTTTCGAGACTGTCCGACATGAGCGTTCCCTCAACATCGAACAAATTAGTTCTATGTACGGACACTTTTTTTTTGTTGTTGTGCCTTGTGTACTGCAGCATCCTTAAGGTGATATAAAATCTGTGCTTAGCAGTACTGAACATGTCAATAAAAAAAGTACCAGACACATGCTTGGCAGAGCACTGTTGTGGACTATTATGAAAAGCCTGTCTAGGTGTTTTCTGACTTAGATAAGATGTACTGAGCATTTTGAGAATCTAGTAGGGCACAAATCATTTCATTTGACCACACGGATGCACCGATAATGCAAGTTTTTACTCCAGGAGTGAGACTAGTGTGTGTCCACAAATGCGGCGAAAAAACGTGCTACATTTCTGCAAAAAGGCAACTATCAGCAAGGGAAGTTCATAGCTGCGTAATATTTTGGGCAATAAAACAAGGTCACCTTTGTTGTACATAACTTGTGTTTCAAGTAGTGTGGTCTTTATAAGACGAACAGCTATCATTGGCTTAATTTACGAAATCGTTTTTATTATCGAATTTTCTTTTAAAAGTTCTCGTGCATGTCGTTTGTAGTGGGCATGCGAGACCAACCTGAGCGTCCAGTCTGTTTTGCCCAAAGTCGCCCTTTTCGCTTCTCGTATGCATGTTAATCTGGCCGCAAGCATGTACACCCAACATACGGGGAACAACGGTAGGTGTCAGTTTGTGTTTCCATCCATTAGCAACAACATTGAGGGCACTTGATGTCAATATTTTTACATCCCATCCAGCACTTTCATTCCATGACTACACGTTTCATTCATGAATACTGTGTAAAACTCGTACAAATTCAATTATTACAAGCTTGTATTGCTAAAATGGTGATTGCATTCAGCACGCCCCTAAATTAAGGCAATTATATAGCTTACTAAAAATATATGTTCAAAAAGTATGACCCATAATCGAGCACGGCCGCATGGCCTGGGATCTGGAAACAAATTCTGTCAGACAAGTTCGAACACATGACTGTGCCGCCCGATTTATCACTGGTAATTATGACTTTATTACATCTGATGCTACGGCACTCGAAGATAACTTGGGGTGGGAATAATTGAGGACTCGTAAAAAAAAACACCAAAAGGTTAGAAATACTTCCCAAAATTTTTTCCGGCATGTGTAGAATAGGTAGTGAAACCTACCTTTCACTCGCTCACTGCACTCTCATAGAACTGCCCACTCGTTATAAACATGAAAAATTATTTGTAGAACAAAGGCCTCTCAAAACTAATTTTTTTCATCCATAAAAACCCAGTGGAATTAGTGACCGCAGTAAACTGTGCAGTGCTGCACTGAAGCATCTAGAGAATTACTGTTCAAGGTTAAAGGAGTGAAGTAATACTTTCAGACCTGCTTTGAAATCAAGCGAATAAGCACTTGAAAGAAGTTTATTGCATGTCACCTTTAATAATAATTATATGCAGGGTTTTACGTTCCAAAACAACGATATGATTATGAGGGACTCATAATCGTATCGTAGTGATCATATCGTATCGTAGTGGAGGGCTCCGAAAATTTCAGTCACCTGGGGTTCTTTAACGTGCACTGACATAGCTCATTATACGTACCTTTAAGCATGTCATCCTTGGTTACTGCAGTAAAGCATCCTATTTTTGTCGCCAGAAACACATCGATGTCTGAAAACAAATTTAAGAACACTTAGTGCTATCAAGTGACTAAACGCACGTGCGCTGAGCAGACCATATCGTGATGGCTGGAGCTAGATGCGATGGTCCCGCCATTTGGTGGAAAGAATAGAAAAGGCGCCTTCTATGGAGCACAGCAGGAGTGGAGAGCTTGACTTTTGAATCTATTGAATTAACGTTGGGTCCATATACTATCTACTGAGTCGGACATCGCCTTTTAATGCTGAAGGATGATGAAGCGTTAAGATCATGCATTGCTTGTGAGAATTCTAGGGCTGAGAAAGATACAACTTCCAGTGAAGAGGTTATTTTATGTTCAGAATACCTTTTTGAATTAAAGGAAAAAACAAATGGTGATGCACTGCAATTATTGCGTGGTAGTGGCTGTGGCATGGTCACTCCTGAGAATTTCGTGGTGGCGCAGAGCAGCGAATGCAAAACAAACGGCGGCAGCAGGGTGCGGCACCATAGCCGTTTAAAAATATTTTGTTATGACAACTTGTTTTGAGGGTTTTGGTGACATTTTGCAGAAATAAATAAATGAGAACATAATGTGAACACTTACGCACATCATGATATACTTTTGTCCTCATTTGAGAAATCATAAAAGAATAGAGGGAATAAATAGAATATGGTGTCACTTACTAATTTTTATTTAGGCATCATGATTGAGCTCGCTATGCTTGAGAGGGTCAAAGTTGGTAATGAATCTTAGTTGCTCTTTTCTTTGTTTTTTTTTAGTGGAAGTAGTGGTTAACAGTAATTTCTGCTCTTATTCGGCGAAGCAATTCTAGTTACACCTGTTCTGAAAGCAAGCTGTGCACGTTCATTTGGAGCGCTACTATATCGTCATTATCAGCTTGCACCTCAGAGTACCTGTACAAAGAGAGAGGTTATGTGAAAAACAGGGAGGTTAACCAGAACATGTGCGGTTTCTGCACTGGGGAAAGGGGATAGAACGGTAAGGAGGGAAAAGAAAAGAGGAATGTTTAAAAGAGAAAAAAAAAGGAAAACACGCTCGCACTTAAGCATGGTAGTGTCATAGTCCTGACAAGTTTAGCACGGCTCGATGACCAGCTGCTTTTGGAGCAGTCACTTTTTCTGTGCTGGAATCTTCCAGCTCCCAGCCAGAATGTCACTAAGGCACTGCTGAAGTATCTGTGGTCAACTGGACTTTCAGAGTTCTTCTACAAGAGTTTGAACATGCACACCAGCTTTCTCATCATAGAGTATCGTTAGGCGAAAGTAATTCTGCAATGCACCAAAACAAGCAAATGGTGTCAATTTTTGAAGATTGATATGCCGTCACATGTCACCATTCTCTTTAATGACAAGCAAACGGCTTCTTATGTGAGCTTACATTTTATATACTTATTATTTTGCAGAATGAATGAAGCATTGTGGTTTGCCTGGACAAATCGTTTTAATCTGTTTGCACACTTGCTTTCTCCATTAGAGATGATAATCCCTTCCGTAGACACATTTTCATTTCATTGAATCATTGTGATGGAAATGTGACACCCAGCAAAGAAGCACATTTACTACCTAAGCTGTGTTCTTGTTATCAGGAGGCTACACTACGGGCCGCCGAGATCTGGTGGACCTTCTTCGGCAGCGCTCACGGCCTTACCTCTTCTCCAACTCTCTGCCTCCACCTGTTGTGGCATGCGCCTCAAAAGTGCTGGACATCCTCCTGGCTAGTCCCAAGTTGGCACAGCAGGTGGCCTCGCTGACAAAGCACTTTCGTTTGCGCATGACATCTGCTGGCTTCACTATCTCTGTAAGCATCTTTTTTGGCTTCTAGGTGCATGCTTGCAATCTCTCTGGTTGTATTGTGTATCATGCCTTGCAGTGGTGAAAAAGAAAATTGGCATGGCCAGCAAAACATTGACACTAATGGCATAGGTTGGCAAAGAAAAGTGGAACTCACTCAGGCTCACTCAAGAAATATAATCTAGAGTTTTAGACTCGCTCGGACTCAGACTTGCCAAACTTTTCCTGGGCCGAACTCACTTGGACTCACACTGGGTGGCAATGAGTGTGCTGCTGTGGTCTATTTTGCGTACGTTGCGAGTTGTCTTGCCAAGCTGCCAAACTTTCTGGTGGGTGGCACTGACTTTGTCAGGATGGTCACTGCAGGTCTCTGTTGCGCAGTGGCTTTCCTTGCCTCTCTGCCAAACATTTCGAGGGGCAACATTGGCTGTGTGGCGGCGATCGACCTTGGCCACACGACAGGGTTCGGAAGTCGGGCAAAAATGACTCTGGTGAATGCCACTGCCTATATTAAAGGGCCACTCACCAGGTTTGACAATTTTGAGCTGACAAGCGCAATGCGTAGATGAGGCAAGCATTCATAATCACACCTGCCAAATTTTGAAACGCTACGCACCGCGGGAATGGGTCAAATTTGCTGCTCCCCCGTCCTTCTGCAAGCGCGCCCAGAGAATGAGGGCATGACGTGCGCATATGAATGACCCTACGCACACGGCAATGCAGTGACATTGGTCCTCTACGTAGACGACCATGCTCTGACGTTGCCAACGATGGCACGTGACATGGCGAAAATTATTTAACACAGCATGCGTAGCTTATGTATTCGTTGCTTGAAGAGAATGATAAATATCTAAATAAATAATGAGACGCAATAAAGGAATGTGAGCGTTTTTTTCTCCTTCATTTTTTCCCCGTGAATTGCATTGAGATGCGGGGCCAATGTGCTGGTGTTTAGCACTCGTTCTTGTCCCCGCGATCAGTGCATCGAGCAGACGACAGCCGTTGAACGTTCCCGTGTGTTTGCGCACTCATTCCGCTCATCTATTCTACCACGTCTAAGCCAGCGTTTCCAAACCATCCTGCAGAAACAGGCAGTAAACCTCAATACAAGGCTTGTAAAAAAAAAAAACCCCGTTCGTGTGCACGGTTGGGCTTGTTCGGTCATGTCGTGCGCACGTGACCCCTTGGTCAAATGCCGGAGAGGGTAGGGAAGAGATTTGGCTTGCGAAGACTACACGGAAGAGCAACAAGGGTTTCGAGCTCGCCTCCTCTCATCCTTGTTTCACGTCGCTTCAAAAATGCAGTTTTCTCAGCTCGTAATGACCCGACTCAAAAATTTTTTGTGACAAAATGTTCCTTATTGGACACCCAACAACTTCCATAATCTAACGAAAATTTGGCATGCGGCCTGGTGAGTGGCCCTTTTAGACGGTCATCACGCTTTTAACAGCTGATTATGTTGTCTGATTGTCGCTATTTCGGGCAAGTGTAAGCTGTGCTTGTTCATGTTACTGTGCTGGGCAGACAGGTACTAGCGCAACGAAGCATGCTTGCGAGTTTGGCTAGGCTGCGTGACCTGACGCTTGTAGTTTAGGGAAGTAGCTTCTGCGCTGCCATCACTGCACTTTCCTGTTCCCTGGGTTCAAGGAAAAAAGATGTTCTCTGGTAGTTCCCTACTGTGGCCATACGAGTTTACATCTTCGCTGCACCCAACACCGCAGATGCTATGGTTGTGCAAAGGTGTGATATCACTGCTTAGTGCTTGCTGCCCCCTAACTGATGAGTGTCAGGTTCCGTGTAGGCACAAACCACCTCGTGATGATCCCTAGGGTATTCAGGTAGTGCACTGGAAGTGAGAGGTTATTCTCTGTTGGTTGCAGCAGAATCACCCGCTAGGCGGTCGGAAGGGCCAATACTGGCTTCTGGACCAATTCTGGACTGTTGATTGACCTGCAAATTGACGGTCTTTTTCTGGATTTTTCCAAAGCTTTCGATCGCGTTGCTCACTGCCACCTAATCTCTAAACTCTCTTCTTTGTGTATAGATTCATTAACTCTGTCATGGATACAGAACTTTCTTATTAAATGGCAGCAATTAACTATTGTTAATGATTTTTCATTCCCACTTTCATATGTTTGTTCTGGTGTGCCGCAAGGGAGTGTTCTCAGTCTGCTGCTTTTTCTTATTTATATTAATGACTTACCAAGCGATTCATCCTCACAAGTGTGCATTTTCGCTGATGACTGTATAATTTACTGAGCAATAAGTAGTACTTGTGATCACGTAATAATTCATAATGACCTCGACCTCATCAGCAATTAGTGTAAATTTTGGCTGATATTTCTTACTTAAAGTAAGTGTAAAGTAATGTCCTTCTCTCGTAAGCAATCTAACTCTGAGTTTTTTTACTTTATTAATGGCAATCACGTCATCATCATCATCATCAGCCTGACTACATCCACTGCAGGACAAAGGCCTCTCCCATGTTCTGCCAGTTAATCCAGTCCTGTGCTTGCTGTTTCCAATTTATACCCGCAAACTTCTTAATCTCATCTGCCTACCTAACCTTCTGTCTTGCCCTAACCCGCTTGCCTTTTCTGGGAATCCAGTTAGTTACCCTTAATGACCAGCGGTTATCCTGTCTACGCGCTACATGTCCGGCCCATGTCCATTTTCTCTTCTTGATTTCAACTATGATATCCTTAACCCCCGTTTGTTCCCTAATGCACTCTGCTCTCTTCTTGTCTTTCAAGGTTACACCTACCATTTTTCTTTCCATTGCTCGCTGCGTCGTCCTCAATTTAAAAGCTGAACCCTCTTTGTTTTAAAAGTGAAACCCTCCAGGTTTCTGCTCCATAGCTAAGTATCGGCAAGATACAGCTGTTATATACCTTCCTCTTGAGGGATAGTTGCAATCTACCTGTCATAATGTGAGAGTGCTTGCCAAATGTGCTCTACCCCATTCTTATTCTTCTAGTTAGTTCAATCTCGTGGTTCGGCTCTACGGTTATTACATGCCCTAAGTAGACATAGTCTTTTACAACTTCAAGTGCTCTATTACCTATCTCGAAGCGCTGCTCTCTTCCGAGGTTGTTGTACATTACTTTCGTTTTCTGCAGATTAATTTTAAGACTCACCTTTCTGCTCTCCTTGTCTAACTCGGTAATCATGAGTTGCAATTCATCCACTGAGTTACTCAGCAATGCAATGTCATCGGCGAAGTGCAGGTTACTAAGCTACTCTCCATTAACTCTTATCCATAACTGTTCCTATTCTAGGCTTATGGAAGCCTCCTGTAAGCTTGCGGTAAATAGCATCGGGGAGAATGCATTCCCCTGCCTTACACCCTTCTTGATTGGTATTCTGTTGCTTTCTTTATGAACCACTATGCTAGCAGTTGATCCCCTGTAGATTTCTTCCAGGATGTCTATATATGCTTCGCCGACGCCCTAATTCCGCAGTGCCTGCGCGACTGCTGATATTTCTACTGAATCAAACGCCTTCTCGTAATCTATGAAGGCTATGTATAGTGGTTGGTTGTATTCTGAGCATTTCTCTATTACCTGATTGATAGTATGAATGTGGTCGGTTGGTGAGTAGCCTGTTCGAAATCCTGCTTGTTCCTTTGGTTGATTGAATTCTAATGTTTTCTTTACTCTGTTAGCAATTACCTTTGTAAATAGCTTGTATACTACAGAGAGCAAGCTCAACAGCCTGTAATTCTTCAAGTCCTTGTCGTTTGTAGTGTCAACTCTTTTAAATATTTAGGTGTAACCTTCACATCTAACCTTTCCTGGAATACCCACATCACCATCATCTGCAGTGACGCCTCACGATCATTAGGCTACATACGCTGCAATCTACGCAAGACTCTCACAAATATACTTGCCTTAGCATACGTAACATTTGTTTGCCCTCAGCTCGAATTTGCTTCTGCAGTTTGGTCCCCTCATCACACTTATTTAACTAACATGCTGGAGTAGATCCAGAATAGAGCCGCTAGATTCATCTCACAAAGCTACGATCATAGCGCAAGCATAACACAAATTAAAAATAAACTTATCACTTTGCTTTTTGAGCAGCCGTCGTGATATAAACCTCCTTTCATAAATACATATATGAAACAAGGGCATTATCAATGACATTGCAAACATCTGCATTCATGTCAAAGAGACTGAATAATCATCTTTCATTCACACACATGTATGGTAAAACATACATTTTTAACACATCTTCACTCCCCTGTGTCATCCGCATGTGGAACAGCCTTCCAGATGAAATCGTAGCTGAACGCTATTGAGAAAAATTCCGGCACCTACTAATTACCCATTTTCAGGATTAACCGCTCGTTTTATTCATATCAAGATCAGCACCTACGCGTTTATACACTGCTAGTATCTCGCTTTTTTTTTCTCTTACTTTAAACTTTTTTTTAAAGGTTTGAATACTAACATGCCATTCAGTTCTGTTATGTATTCTTGAGTGATGTTTTCTTTTGAATAATGAAAAGTCCTTTCACAAATTGTGCTTGCTTTTTTAGCTTGTTTTACGTCATTATCTCACATGTATACTCATGTGCTTTTCATTGCTGTTCTATTCCTATTAAAATATTTTTTTTTCATTGTTATTCCAGTTAGGACTTATGTTATTGTTTGTATGCAAATTGTACGAATTCGTGTATCTATTCCTTTTTGCTCCCCTTACACAATGCCCTGGTGGGTCTGTAAGGTATTTTGAATAAATAAATATTGTCATTTTCGATGCTGTCATACATTGAGCTTTCACTCTGATGTAAATTGTCATTTTACTTTAGTGTACCTTTAATTACAGGCTCCGAGAGCATTGCTCAAAGGTGTCCGAAATGGGAGGGAGTTTTTTAGATGCACACTGCAGACCTTGTACTGTCATGGCCATGTGTGATCCAGTTTAAAACCAACTTTCAGTTGAAGTGAAAATTAGTCAACCCAAGAGATCATTGAGACTGAATTAATTGATAGGTCAGATGCT